AAAAGAGGGAAAATAATTTCCTTAGCAAATTAAATTTATAATAATACAGTCTTCCAGTATATTTGTGGCCTGAGTCACACAATCTTGGTGACTTGAAATAAACATCAAATGAGAAATTTAGTTTAGGGTGGTCCCAGAGGACTGGTAGTAAAGCCATTGTCTGAGGGAAGCAAATATAAATCTCTTGTAAAGAAACTTGCATTCTTCACACTTATCAGAGAATTTCCTCCAATAAGGCATCAACATAAAATAGAGTAATAGAAAAAAAAAATCGATGAACATACAAGGGAACATAAAGCACTCAGTGGAGGCAGTAGATAGCACAGGCAGTATAATCAGACTCACAGAGACTTTCAATAGTAAAACTGTCAAAATATAAAAAGTAATATTTTAAGTTTTAAGAAATAAAAGGCTTGAAAAGATTAATAAAAACCTGGCAGATTTTAAAAAGAGTACAATAAACTCTTAGAAATGAAAGACATAATTGTAGCTCAAAACTCAATGGACCATTTTAACAATATATTTGAAACGGGTGAAGAAATTATAAGGGAACTTCAAAATAGAATTGAAGGAAATTATCTAGAATGAAACCCACACTATAAACAAAAAGACAAAAGTATGAAACCTAAGAGTCATTGAGAACAAAGTAAAAAGATCTAACATGTATCTAATTAGAGCTTCATAAAGACAGAAAGACACTGAAAAATTTACCAAAATGATGAATGAAATCAATCCAGTTTCAAGAATTCCAAAGAAAAATAAGCAGGACAAATAAAAGGAAATACGGACTTAGATAAATCATTGTAAAATTGTTGAATGTCAAAAACTAAAAAATCTTTAAAACAGCACCCCAAAGATATATTAACCTCAATGAACAATAATTAGATTTCCATTCATTGTTCAATAGTAGCACTGTATGATAAAAGGCACCAAAATGGTAAGTTCTATAAGGCAGAAAAATAATAATAATAATTGCCAACCCTAAATTCTATAGTTAGTGAAAAAACTTTTCAAAAGTAAAAAAATAAAAATAAAAATAGCTCAGAAAGAAAAATTAAGATAGTCTGCCAACAACAACAAAAAAACCCTTTCTGAATAAAATTTTATTTATTCCAAATAAAACTGCTTCCACATGGAAATTGCAACATTGAAAAAATGGACAAAAATGTGAATAAAGCTAATCCTATATTAACTAAAGCAATTATCATACTCTCATCAAATTTTAAAAGAGAGAATATACAAAAAATATAACATGGAAAGAGGTAATCAGAATTAAACTTTATTCTATGACACAAAACTCACTCACATTGATATTCTAAATGACACAAACCAACCCAAACTACATACTCCAAAGTTAGCAGGTCATCTGTAATGAAAACTGGCACGAGTTCAGAATTATTTAAATCACATGGCATACTGAACTCTGCAACTCTGAAGGATAATGGCTTGTGTGCCCTCTAGGAATATAACAGAGATAGAGGGGTGTGTGTGTGTGTTTGTACATGTGTAGAGCTTTATTCAAAAATAATTCACGTATCATATTTACACCAATTAATTTAGAACAATGATTTTTGATCACTCAAAAAAGATACTCCATCACGACTCGTAGTCATTACCCACTTTTATAAATACTCCTCACCTATTTTTGCCTAACTCTCCTAACTGAGTCGCAGGAAATCATTTATCTACTTTCTGTTTCTATGTATTTGTCTATTACGGACATTTTCTAAAACATTCCTCCTACCTAAGTGTTATTCTATAACTTTGGAGATCATGCTAATCAAAGGAGATAGAGTGTGTTTTGTTTTGAAGGTTTGTTCTATTGAGCACCATCTTATGGCAGATAGTCAGTCAATACTCTTGAAATGGATAGAGGGGTTCATAACTGCCACTGAACAATAAAAATGAAGGAAGTGACCTCGTGTAACAAGGCAAACCTGAAATCTTATCACTGCTTTTTTGTTGAATATATATAAATATTTAAATTTTTAAAATTACTGGGTAATAAATTATTTACTTTCTAACATTTTTTCTTCTAACTTACTTCTTTAATATAATAGTGGGAGAAAGCCCAATCAAGTTACATAACAGGTTTTGTATTTGGACATAAGTTTCTAGGCATTGGGAAGCAACTATAGTTACTGAGCAAGGAAGTCATAGAATTTGAGCAAAGTTTAGAAAATTATTCTAGAAATGATCAATATTTTGTTTGATAAGAGTATAAACCATTGCCACTGAAATTGAAAGGTAAACCCAACAGGTGAAAGCACCAAATCTACTGATTACATTTCTGCTTTCCTGCTTTGTAACATCTGTAATATGTATGTGTGTGTGTGTGTGTGTGTGTGTGTGTGTGTGTGTGTGTGTAATATATATAATATATCCCTCTCAACCATACATATATATATATACACACATACAAACACATATATATCAAGGTAACTTCAATTTTGTTGTTGCTCTAAAATATAGATCTATCACAAAGAAAAAACTTTTCTTTTACATCATATCATTTAGTCAGCTTTTCTGTAACATATATTATAAATTTATTTATCTATACACAAAAAACACACTAATCTGAGTATACAGATTTTACAAACACATGCAAAATCATGGAAAAATTGATGGCTTACAATTTAATGTAAAAGTTTTGAAAAGAACATACCTCTATTGTTTTAAATAAAGGATCATTAAATCAAGGAACACTGTTTAAAAAAGCCATTTATTTCACCATATTGATAGATTGATCTCATGCCTTCTCATATAAAGGCAGTATTTTTTAAAAGAAAACCTATCAAGAAATATAACCCAGTATTCACAGTTTGATAAATCTGAAACGTGTCCTTCCAATTGAGAGATACAATTGCAAACGACAGCCTGCACAAATGAAACAGAGAAAAACTGACTGAGTGGGGACAATAGAATTGAGTGTACCTTTCAAAACTAGAGCTGTAATCCAGTTTGTAAGAAAATAAAGAATGGAAGTATTGGCCTAAACTCCACTGAATCACAGAAGCCTAACACAATACAAAACAAGTGACATCCTTTTCTCAGAGAGGTGAAAGACTCATTGAGTCTAGGGATTCAATTACCCTCTCAACCTGGAAAGAACCCCCCTCCTTATTGAGGTCCACTGGCAAAGCAATGTGGGACAACCTACATTGTACACAGATGGTAAATATCTAAAAACCTGCAGGCTTTAAAAAACAAGAATCTTTGACCTTTTATGATTGCTACAGTGATTCAACAAAAAATTACTTACAAAAGTTTTTTTTAATGTTTGACAAAAGATTATCTTTTCAATTAAACATCATCAAATATCTCATATTCATATAGAAATCTTCTAAATACATATCTAAGCACAATGCTCCATTCGGTAAAGAATATGAACAAATTAATGAAACAGAAAGAGGTTTCCCTAAAATAGAGATGACTGTGATCTTGCTTAGACATTTTGTAAACTTCTCTGAGAATCCCATTTGCCTTTTTTTCTAGACATTCTAGACATTTGTGCAGACCTTGAATAAATGAATTTTGTACTCATAAAGTAACTACTGAATTCTGAAATATCTATGAAAAAATTGGGGTAGCCTGGATATTCTAAAATGGTCCATCATGATTATCATATTTCCCCATGCTCGATGTGAGGAGTGTTAACTTAGACATATTTTTTAGCGAACATACTTCAGACTTCAAACTTTGGACACTCCTTTTCTTATAAGATCTTTATTAAACAAATAAGATTTTGTAAATATAAATTTATTTCAAAAACAGCAATTACTTGTACAATATTTACTATATTGAATGAATAGGGAAACTAATAATTCCACATCAACAAAATATTTGTTGAGTAATTACTATATTAGACATTTTCATATAAAAACATTATTCAGCTTATAACACAACTCTGTAAAATAGATGCTACCTTACCTTCATAAATGAAAGTAAGGAGGTAAATTTCCCCAGTTTCGCAATAAGTGGCTTATCTAAAAATTCAAACCAGACTTCAAATCCTAATAAATCTGACCAGTCACAGATTAATGCCACGTCCCTACACCCAAGTAATAATTTTTAAATTCTTTCAAACCCCTAAATTGATATAAAAGTATTTATCATTTTTCTCCTCCTATATTATTTATTTTAAATACTTTACATATATTAAGAAATAATCTTTATATGTAAAAAGGTATGTGGTTGTTGTAGTAGGAGTTAAGGTATCTTTACAGTGTTTTAGAAAATCAGTGGTAAATCTTATGAAAAGATTCTCTATCTTTATGGGAGACTTTCTTCAGCTTTGTTCATCCTTAAAGAATTAGACACTTGGGCAAGAGTTCTCAATGCTCTCTTCACAAAAACAATAGGTACTATTAATTATTCAATCAATCAACTATTCACTTAGTGAATGAAAACTGGGCTTAGAGTTACATTGATTTCTTTAAAAAAAACTAAAGATCAAAATTCTTTGTGTTCTACTCATGCCCATATAAGCTTTGTTTCTATTTTTTGTTGTATTTTTTTTTACTACAACTCTATGAGTCACTATGAATTATTTCAAATCTTAAACAAATTAACTAAATTTTAGTAAAAAAGAAAAAAAGCCTATTCCCTTGCTATATCTGTGCACTAGACTTACTATCAAAGCACACTTTCAAAGATATTTCACAAATCATAATAGTGTTTTGCTGATCAATGACAGTTCTTGTCTATGAGTACTTAGCAAGCATAAAGTCAATCTATTCAGTGTCTTGAATTTTAAAAATCATTCACTTTAACATAAACTAATTTTCAAAACGAACAATTAAATAAATTTTCATGATAATTCACAACTTGGAAGTGCTTAATTAATAAATGTGCCACATTTTTAAATGCCTATAGAAATCATATTTAATGCTTTAATCAGATATGCTAAGACAAGCTGTATGCTGTACCCACGGATAATAATAGAGAACAAGATCAAATACTGTTATTATTTTCATTTGCAGAGTTAAATCTGAATTTACCTTGTTTGCAATACTTGTGATGAATGATTTAATATCAAGATTAGTTGGACAGCTCTTCTGACAGGGGGCATCTGCACATTTCAGGCATCTAGGAAATAAAATAATTGCATTAAGAAACTACAAGATAAGTGAGCTAATCTATACATTTTCTACCTTATACTCATTCACAGTCAGTGTCTAGTAAGTCTATAAATAAAATTATATTATTTTTAGGTAAAAACTTTCCTTTTTTGAGACACAGTCTTGCTCTGTTACCCGGCTGGAGTGCAGCGGCATGACCTTGGCTCACTGCAACCTCCGCCTCATGAGTTGAAGCGGTACAAAACATTTTTAAGCAATAAATACAAAATTTCTGTGTTTCAGCTTTTGTATTCCTCTTGAGGTACATAAATGAGAATCATGCTGGCTAGTAACTGCCCTGCCTCTCAGAGTTTCTTCTTGATTTTAAGAGGGTGATACTTACTTAGGATACACCATTCGTTCACTCTCTCAGTTTTGTTATGATCCCTCACTATGATGACAATATTTGGCATGCAGTTTTTTATGGTAAGGTTTGTAATTCTTTTTGACCAAAATTATTGCACAAATGCAAAGATCCAAGATAAAGTCTTAGTTTACCACTTGAAATATCCTTTCTTCCACTCTTCCTTCCTCCCACCTTCCCTCTCTACCTGTCTGCCTCCCTCTTTCCTTCCAGTTTTCTGAAGTCTTTCAACCTTCATCCTGTTCACATGACAACTGAGTTCTGTAGTAGATACTTCAAAGCATAGCCCAGATCCACTCCCTTCAAGACCAAAACTTTATTCCCACAGCTACCTTCCCTCTGCTGCTGAAGAGAACAGGTTCCACAACGTCAGGCCTTCTTTCCAGTAGCAGCACACAACCAATTCAAGGTCACTGAGTGGGCTTAGAGGTTCGTTACCCACTCCCGTATTTGGGGAGCTAGTCTGCAAGGGGCCACTGAAGCATTTATTGTTAACTGTTTGCCCAATCCCACTTCCTTCACTCTTCTACAGATGCTAACCTGCATGTAAACTTCCTGCGCATTAATCTCATCTCAGACTCTGCTTCCTGGGGACCCGGCCAGAGATATATTCAAACTTTGTTGCACCTAAGAACCACCTGGAAGCTTGATAAGTGGCACAGACTCCACAGAGGAGCCCCTACAGAGTCCAAGTTACTGGCCTGGGAATCTGCATTTTGAAAAAGGGCCTCTAAAGTGATTCTAGTACTCATAATTGGAACCACATTGTTAGAACCAGAATTCTATAATTATTCACTTGGGACAATTAAAACCAATGGCCAGACTCATCCTTTATTTTCACATTAACTTACATGTTTTTTTTTATTTATTCATTCATTTAATACATATTTAATGAGCCTCCATTACATGGCAGACCCTGGGATATGAGAATGTAAAAGTGTTGGAAAATGATCGCCATGGTCCTATCATAGAATATGCAGTTTGAATGAAGTACAGACACAGAAAAAGCCACACACTGGTCAAGGTGGTCAATGAGAATTTGGGTGAAATATAGCATGCTAAGGGAGCAAAGAAGAAGGACAGTAGTCCTGGAGGGAGACAGTCAGCACAGGGTTCCTGAAAGGAATAATATTGAAATAGAAGCTTGAAGAATGAGTGGACAATAGGAAAGCAAATGACAGTGGGATTCTGAGTGCAGGATCACTTAAGAGAATGACCCCAAAATAAAAAGAGTATACACAAATGTCTGGAAAGGAAAGAACATGACAGGGCAGGTGAATGAATGAATTTGGTCTAGCATAAAGTGAGAGTAGGAGTAGAAAGAAATGAGGCTGGAGATAGACAACTAAAGGAAATACACAACTGCCACATGTGTCAGAAAAACAGCATTCTCCAAGAATTTCACTAAGAATGAATCCTACATTGCTCAGTGACAAAGGTGACTAGTTAGCTCATTTTCTATACACTTCCATGTGCAAAGACCTTGGTTCATTTCCTTCAGAAAACAAAACCAGTCTCCTTGTCATTCTTTTGTGAGTAAGAGAGCCCTCTTCATTGTCTGAACCAATTTCTCAGTACCTAATTAATATCTTGTTTTTAAATCTGATTTCCTTTCTCTGGTTTGTGCCCTTAGCCTTCTCTCCAAATTAAATTTTACACAATGAGTACCAAAGGTTTTTCATAATCAATTGTCCTCTCTGAAATGTAGTCATTAAACCTCTCCCCTATCATTTCTCTAAATGCCATTGTTAGACTCACATCTATCATTTAGTTGAATTCCTATCTGCTCATACTTAACATTTTTCCCCGAAACACTATTACTGAGTTCAAAAGTAATTTCTTCAAAGTATAATTTGCAGCATACATTGCAAACAATGCAAAAAACTGTGTAACGTATGGCCTAGTTGGTCCTTGATGTTAAAATGAGGTGATATTTATATGTGCAACTGTCATGTAGATAAATACGCTGAGCATGAATAGTGGTGTGAAAGGATTTTCTTTTATGTCACAATATAAAAAAGCTAAAAGCTTAGCAAATAATATACCAATTAAACATCAACTTATTGGTGAAAGAAAGTTTTTTCAACAGTTATACAATATCTGACATTACACAGGAATAAACACACACACACACATATACGGCACATCATACAGATTCTGGTTATCCCTAATGAAGTCACAAGTTTCCTGCTTCTCTTTTTTCTAACACCCAAAGTGAATAATAACACAATTAAAAAATAAAGTTATAATAAATGAATCAAATTAATGTGCAGTATATTTTTCTGTTCTTCCAGAGAAATCTTATATTCAACGTAAACAGATTCACTTAACAGCATTGACAATGTAAGGATTTTTAGTTGTGGTTATTAAGCCTCTTTACCAAATAATTCTCCTTTTATTATTGAGCTAGTTCACAAATAACAGCTGTTGAAAATGTCAGATGTTAATGAGGCAGGGCCACGCAAACCTGAATTGTAGCATTCTTTTTTCCTTTGGTGTCATGAATATGCCAGAATGGGCAGACTCTGATAATAATACCATCTTGCAATTCTCTAAGCGCTCTGCAGACTAAAGTGCATCAGGCTGCCATTAATCCCACTTATCACTCTGACAGCTCAGTAATTACACTACTGCTATAGCCAGGTAGTCCTAATAAAATATCAACCACTGCACTGGAATGCATACTGGTGAGATGTTTTATTAAACTTCGAGGGGTGGGGGTTGATCATCAAGTGACATTAGTGTTGACCTATTTTTCTATTTGACAATAAATTATCCTTTGACCATGCCATAATAGATATTACAGAGTGCATTTACTGTACCAAATCAGAAAGGTACTGAATTACAATGATATAGGCAAATGGTGTAAATAAAATAGCAGAAATGCATGTCAGAATGTTATTACCTAAATTGCCTTAAATGATTGATACCATGAAAAATCACAGACACAGTACTTTGGGGAATATGTCAACAATTATTGTAAACCACAGTTCCACATAAATTTCTCCATAATTTCTACATAAAAGTAACATTTAAATTACACTTGTTTTCATCTTTGGTCATTTAATTCCCCTTTTACCTTTCAAAGTTACTCTGTTATAGCTTATTTTTAAATGCATAATCAGCAAAAATTAATTCAGAATAAACAATTATGTCATACTTTTATCCCCAAATAATTGTTATACATAAAGTTAAATAAGTGTATTAGATTTTTTTAAATGCAAGGAAACAACTTAGAGTTTTCACTAGTCACATACTTTTAAAATCTTCACATTTAATGCAAAGCATAGCAATGTACTTCACTAAGAGCAAAATATAGAATTCTTAATCAATGTTAATCTTTCATGATTCAACATGACCATAAAAAAAGTATGAAAACTTAAGTACTGATACTTAAAGGCCAAAAACTATTAAAGATATATTTATCCAGGATATTTCTCTAGAGAAAGAGAAACAGGATTCCTTTTCTCAAACATCAGTGAGGCTAGACAGTTTTACTTCATAGTATGACACCAAAAATATTATAGTGAGTAATGAAACAAGCGGCATTTCATTCTTCACACATCTGAGAACAGATGCCTGCTTCTTTTATTGGTAACCATCCACAGCATTTGGAATTGTAACCTATGCTTGTTAAAGAATTTTCTACTCCATGAGTTTAAATGGCTGAATTAATTTCTTTCTCAGTTAAAAAATAATAAAAAAAATACTTACACATAAGTCGATCTGAAACCCTTAAAACTCACATCGCATAGTCTTAGCTTTGCTAGGTTTTGGTTTCATTGAGTCAGCATGGTTTAATCAGGCAGTGTAAGTCTATATTAATCTATATATAATGGCATTAAGCAAGAAAGTATTTACAGTAAAAAATTAAAATATTTTCCTAATAGTAATATTGCATTTCCTCAGATATTTAATGTTCAATATCATCATCTGTAAGGTCTACCTAATTGAGGTGCAAAAGATGGATTCAAAACACTGCTTCCCTACCCTATAAGCACCAGTGTAGGAAAATAACATAGTTTAATATTTTCCCCAATGGTGCAATATATCTACTGAAAATGGGGCAGAATCAACTGTCCAGTTGAAAAGAAGTGTGAATAAAGAAATCGAGGTTGGAAGGGTCATTCATGCATGAGTTCCACAACTTTTATCCTTTGTTTCCAGACTCTATCATAATAAAAGGAGACGAGAAAGATGGCTGGTATCTTTAAAACATGATGGGACTAATTCCATGTTCTGATCCATTAAGCAGTCAAAACAGCCAAAAGCGAACCTCAGCTTCCAATAATTATCTGCCTATTTATATCGCTCTGATTCTCTTAATAATCCATTAACAGCCCTTCCTATGTACTTCTGACTCTGCTCCTCTGATTACACCACAGGTTCTTAATAGCTTAGGGCTATCTGGAACTAACTTTGAATATTCTTAAATATGCATCTTGGCCCAGCCTCTATTATACTGAGCTGGAAGCTACAATAACATCCTTAAAAATAACTGAATTTTTAATACTGTGCACCATTCTGCCATTTAATCACACCTGTATGTTCATGTTTTAAGAAGTTTAATATTTATTTGTATTTACAAGTTAAGCCAAACATAA